TTTATATCTTATTGTTCCCTCAAATTCCAGGCATTCGCATTTTTGTGTGTCCTCTGTTCTGCTCTCGATTTTGGCCTTCAACTTCTTTTTCATTATGGAGATCGATCAAGGTTCGATGAAAGGCCAAAAATGGGAACAACGATAACAACATTTGATGTGAATGATGAGGAATTGATTGACCGACATCCACTGGACATCTCTCCACCAATGATTCCCCAACATTTCCATCACAATCGCAGTGTCAGCTTTATTACACCACCCGAGTGAGTTTATAAGTGAAAATCGAAATTCATCACTCACAATTTTTCTTTCATCAAAATTTCTCTTTTTTCCTTACCAAAGCGAATTCTTCATCATTCCAAGAAATCTCTCTTTTTGCAATTCAATTTCATAACTCTAATCATCGAAATTATGACAACCCTAGAAAGGATATTATATCGAAAAAAGGATGTGCCAATTTCCATTGATGCAATTTCTTGGGCAATGATACGAATCCTTTCCAACATCTTTTCCAAGATCTCAACAATTCATCAAACTCTTTTTCTTTAAGCAAACAAATGGATCAACACATGAAGTATTTGAGTTGGGCAAGAAAAAGGAAATCATCATCCTCCTTTGTTTGAGGAACCGGTTCAAAAAATTGCACAATACATTGTGCGAAGTTAGTGCAAAAAAAAAGAAAAAAAGAATAGAATAAGCGATGGATTTTAGAGAAATAATGGTCTTAAATCCTTTTTGATCATTCAAAAAAACCCGCGGCAGCCACTTTCATGGTCTTCAGAAAATGAAAGAGATTTTTGAGGGATAATGGTGAAAAAAATGTTTTTGATGGTTTCAGCGTTTTCCAAAAATTGCAATGAATTGCTTTAGATTTACATTCGAAAATGATTTTTAGAACAATCAATCAAAATCTAATGCAACAATTTCAGTCTATCCGGTGATAGATGCGAATTATCTGAAGGCGGCTTTCTCTCTCATCCATTACCCAAATTCTATTACGAAAGAAAAACTGTACACACAGATGTTTGAAAAGAAAAAACATGCTAATTTTATGTTACAATTGAAGAAAAAGAAAATTTGATTTGATTTGAAGAAAAAGAAACGATTCGATGTGTCTGCAAATAAATGATTTCTTTAATTTTTTTGCTAAAAGTACAGAAAAATACAACACAGGAAAGGAGTAAGGGTTTATATATACCGTATATATATATATTCATAGCCTAATAGTGCACTCTAATAGTATTGGGGAGAGGGGTTGAAAAATAGGGCACTACTATTAGAGAGAATACGGTATATTCTTTATTCAGTTGAATAGCGACAAAACGAAATCACAATAATTACCCGGGACACCACTCAAAACACACCCAAAAGATAAATAGATACCTCAAGAAAGAATCACAGAGCAGCCAAATCAATTGCCGAAATTGCGGCTTTAAATCTAGCCAAGGTGAAAATATCACGAACATCAGGGGGTAAAATGTTCCAGAATTTAATAACTCGATTAAAAAAGAAACTGTGGGGGCTTTTAGAGGAAACGGAAGGTTGGCGTATGAGAAAAGGCTTCTGGAGGCGCCCCGTAAAGAGCCGAATTCAAAGAGACCAGAAAAACGACATCAAGAGCGAACAACCAATGCGGCAAAAGAGCCTCGATTCCCGGGAGATTCAAACGAAATATCGTATGCCCATAATAGAACAATGAGCACAGAATCAAACGATCTTTCTGTAAAAGATTTGCTCTTTAGAAAATATAGCTGCTAATCTTCAACAAGTGTTTCATAAATCATCGCGAAGAATCGAAGCGAAAAATGTTTCATAAATCATCGGGATGAGTTTGAGAGATTATCGTTGAGAATTGACATCTTTTAGAAAATTAGAAAACGAGAGAAACATTGTTTATTTTGATTTGTTTTATGTGAACCTATAGAAGTGTTTTAAATGAAAATCCGAAAGTTTTCAATGAAGTTTTAGATGTGTTTTGATTGCAGTAGTACTTCTATTGTTCCCCATAGGAAGCAATTACGAAATATTTCCATTTTCATAGCGTTTCTTTTTGAAATGAATTTAAAATTGATCAAAATATGATCTTTCTAAGACAAATCGCGCCTGTTCGCCTTTTCATTTCAAAGAGAAAGCCAAAATCGTTACGCCACAAAAAGAAAGAATAGAAAAATGAGGCAATCAAATGGCTCTTTGCTTGCCCGTATTCTTTCATTTTTGTAGCTTGAGCTTGCTAAATTCTATTGCTAAATTCTACTCTGTATATAGCGGCACTCTATATAAAGGAAAAAATTGATTCAGAATGTGTGAACTCATCGAATCTTTCCAATTTGCTCCCTTTTCAACAATGCCTTTCGCTGAACACAACGATTCTCCAATTTACTGCCATCACGGAAGTCCGCATATCTTTGTGAGTCTTACGGTCCTTAGAGTCCGCATATCTTTGTGAATCTTACGGTCCTTAGAGTCCGCATATCTTTGTGAGTCTTACGGTCCTTAGAGT